CTCCATAATAGTGCGCATCCACGATCCCGCCTCGCAGGATTCGAACACAGGACCTATCGGTCTTATGCGCGAGGGCTTGACCAAATAGAGCACTGAGCTGGGCGGCATCCAATGGTGTTAATGTCTAGCTTCAACTAATCCACAAAATTGAGCGACACATACACGATTGTTATCAGTGAGTTACTATCTAACATCTGGCTCGGTTGAATTCCACTGGTTACTGCTTCTCACTAGAACTCCAGGATATACATCTTGAAACCAGTCACTAGTGAGCATATGTTGATTAGTATCAGAAGGGTTTTTGTGGAGACTGTAGTAATTTCAATAGTCTAGCTTCAAATGTCTCATGATCTCAACTGTTGAAATTTTTTTTTAAACAGAGAAAGAAAAACTAAATAGAAGATTCAGTCAATAGACTATCACATATTGATTCTTTTTTCTTGAATTGATTGATTAAAAATAAGCTGATTTACCATCGAACAAAAATATCAAAGATGTATCATTGAGAACTATAGTTACTTCCTAGTCATCTTTTGTTTGAATCTTTCGATGAAACTTTGATCAAAGTTAATTATTGTCAAGCAAACAGGAAATAAGTTGAATTTTAGAAAAATCAAAGTTTAGACTAGTTGTTTTTTCTAAGAATAAAGTTTCACTTTTAGAACGTATACTTATTTCTATGCTAATTAAAGTTTTGGAGTAAAAATTATTTTCTTTAAAGTGATCGTTACTCTTCTTTGCTTCATATTACAAAGAATTTCTGACAACAACAAAATGGTAATCCTAACAAGAAAGATTTATGAAAGTGTAAGATCTTTGAAAACGGAATATTCTATAAAATTGGGTAGTTTACAGATGCTTTTCTAAGTATAATTGCTAATGTAGAACTTCATTATTTGGAACATAAATACAATCATCTAGTTTCTAGATGATAGGTAGAATTCTGTTTGTATTCTGTATTTCAATGATCAACATTTTACCTGTTAATTCTCTGGTCAAATTCAAAGTTAGCAACACCAATAGTTTTATAGGTTCATTAGTAAATAATCTATGATTGTTAAATATTACCCTTCAATTTTATTAAATTGAAGCCAATGTTATTTAATTGTGCTGAGTTTGTATTTTCACCATAAAAATTAAGTCATGTATCACTTCAGTTATATAGATAATCTCATCACTGAAATAAATTCTCTATTGATTACAAACACATTGATTGACATTTGTCAATAACATTAATTTCATGTAGGTTCCAATGTCATTTTTCTTGTCATTTAAAATAATTTACAATTATTTGTTGTACGTCAAAGAGATCTGATCTTTTAAAATCAATCATATGTGAAGGTTGCAAGTATCTGATTATAGTTGCTACATAAACATTACTGGGTCAAATATGTTGAGATTCAGTAGTGAATTTTGAGGAAATATTGATTTCTATCGATAAATCAAAATGGGGTTGACTGTATTTCCATATTATTGGTTACACTTTATCTCTAAGACTTATGTTGCCCTGTTTTAATATAAAACAGAAAATACTTTACAATGAAAACATTAATAAATAATACCAATAAACAAAGTCATAGGTCACTGAACAAACAGTTTTGAAAGTAAAATCGAAATGACAAGTTTTACGGAATAAAATGATTTAATTGAATTTCATTGTTTATTGTTAAGTTACATACAATGAAATATCAATAAATATAAGTCAATAAAATGTAAAAGAAATATGTGACAATAATGATCAAATACACGTTATTGTGTAAACTGTAATTGTATATTAGAATAAATGATACGATCTTTTTACTAAAACTATTATAGATCAAGAACTCAAGTTTAAAATTCGGTTGCTCATAATTCATTTATTTATTTGAACACATAAATATTGGTACAAAGGTGCAACAGATATATATGCACTACACAAAACAATGAGAATGGGAAGAGAACAAGAAAGTTAGATGTGTATAAGAAAAAAAAGAAGAATAACGACCACAGATTAGCATGTGGTGTAATAACAATAATAATAATAAAGGAGAAAACGGAAAAGTACAACCAGAAAGAATTCCTTCAGTTAAGGAAGTTACAACCACTTTTTATGAGGAGAGTAAAAACAGGTTAATAATAAAGGAGAAAACGGAAAAGTACAACCAGAAAGAATTCCTTCAGTTAAGGAAGTTACAACCACTTTTTATGAGGAGAGTAAAAACAGGTTACAGCAGGATCGCCACTGACTTCTGTTCTGAGCCATATCTAATAATATCTCTAGCCACTCTGTTGCACCATCCCTCGCAACCCAACCAGGGAATCGTGAAGGACCAACACAAGCCAGCCTTTTGTAGCTTTCTTTCATACCACGACACCATGTCATACACTGACCATCTCTCCGCTTTTTCCAACCAGTACCAGCGTTGGCAAATAATGCACGACATGGAATTCTCTTGGACGACATTCGTAGAACATGTCCAAGCCACCGAAGTCGGTGTTTCAAGATGGTGACACCAATTGCATTATCATCTCTGTGCCCGAACACACGATGCCGAGCCTCTGCATTACTGACATGGTGTTGCCACTGGATGTCAGCAATCCTTCGGAGACAACGATGATCAAAAACAGAGTCGTCTAACATCCTCAACTCGGAGAGGCCAGGTTTCACAAGCATAGAGCAGAACTGCTCTCACCGACACGTTGTAGATCCGACCTTTTACAGCCAGACTAACATCACGAAGGCGCCAAAGGTGGTCCAGATTGGCGTAAGCCGCTCTGGCTTTCGTGAATCGATCTCATCACTCACACCACCATCAGTACTTACGCAGCTACCTAGATACTAATAATAGAACACTTTAATGCTTAAACACGTCTCCATAAATTAAAAAAATTAAATAATGAATAAAGGTGATTAATTAATCTCTTACATTTTATCCCTTTAGTTTGAATTATTCAAAACTAATCCAGGGACTTCACTCTAAACGTTAGTTCTTTTACTACGACATTTCCTTTTGTTATTGACTAAATTCATTAACATATTTATTTCTCCATCTACATATTATTCTTTTATTTTTATGAATTCCTATTCTATAATTGTACCGTAAAAAGTGAACTCATTTTATGTCTACCATTGTAAAATAGATTTGATTACATAATACGATCACTTTATATTTTGTTTTATTCATACTTTTTTTCTAATTAATCTAAGTTAACGACTAACTAACATCATAAATTATTGTGTTCAAAGTCAGTTTAATAATGGTAGACCAATTTTTGTATTTGTATACAGTTTCAATTATCCATTTTGGTAACTTAGTTTATTCATTTCATTAGTTATAGACAAATTGTATTTACGTCATATATGCTCAATACTATCCTATTAAACGGATGAATAATGATAGAAATTTACCAGAATTTTAATTTTTTTCTTAAAATTTTCTAATTATAACATACTGATACCAACTAGCATGAAACCTTATGATTCTCCTTTGGTTATACAATTTTATCTTATGGAACTACCTAAACGTGCATACTCACGACCATACTAAAAATGGAACCTAAGACCTTCAAACCTTGCAGAATATATTTAGTCGTCAGAATCACTAGGTTGGCTATCAGTATTATTGTAGTGAACGAGAATACAAGAGGGGATAATCGAATGTATATGAATACAAAATTACAGAACATCTTGGTAAAATCTGTGAATCACACAATAAATTCTTCATTTGTAAAAGGTCAATCAATTGTTTCAAACTTCAATGTTCCTTCATTTCCATAGTAATCACTCTCTGTTCTCGTTCTCTTTTATTCAATCTTCTTAACGTTCTGCTGCCAGTTATTTCACTTTCGACTGGTGATACATACTACCTATGTCTATCGACATCAGTAGCACACACCACAGTATAATTCTAAGTACAAGCGACGTGCGATACAATTAGCAAATTATTTGAACAAGTTTATCTTAACGCTTTCCATAAAACGTTTTGCTAGTAAAGAAAGTATTTTTTATCTTGAAATATATATTTACAGCATCTGAAAAACCATTAAAAACAAAGGAACCCTGGATAGTTAGTCTATCCTACTCTATAATTTGTCAACAGTGAACTTCCATGAACCCGTACGAAAATAAATCTCAGACGTTTAATCTTCCCTTATATCATGATTCATTTAGACTATATAAGTGAAAACCATTTAGTTCACATTTATAAGTTCAGTCACTTCGTAGGATAGCGACATAACAGTTTACTCCATGAAGATTAACCTCCAAATAAAGTATAACAAAGTGTCAAGGCATGAAATTATCCGTTCCTTAATTGGCCAAGTCGATCGCTATCATCAGTGCAAACAATTTGAAAAATACTTTGAATGACTGTTAGTATAATTGTTTTCGCCTGTAAACAGCATTGCCGAAGAATATACACGTGATAAAATAATGTAACACGACAGTTAAATTAGTGATATTTATGTAAATTAATAAAAGGAATATATACTTTTATGCTACAATTTATAACCAACCAGCTGAGGTGAACGGTATCAGTCATATTAGTGAAACTACATGGTGGTAAGCAGTGGAATCCAAGGTACACATTTCTTCCTATTTGCAACTCGTCAGCTATATATGGGAATTGGGAAGATATGAACTCTTACAAATAGTATCAATTATTGCCGGAAAAAATGATTTGTGCTCCAACAAATTATACAGGATTCTTATATTTACTTACAGTTTTAAGGAAAAACGATCATTCCGTAACATAAAATCTGCCTAGTGACAACAGATTCTGAATAGTTAAAATATTTACTCAAGTTAAACCACAATTAGGATTGATTTATAGCATTTCAGTAAAATATGCCATCTTATATTTCGATATGTATTTATTCTAATGAACCTGTATAAAAACTAATTTATCATTTAATTATTTACATGTTATTATGGGAGTCATAATGAAGAACTACTTCTTCCAAATAATAACAACCCATCCAAGTTACCCGATAATCAGTCATGTTAAAGACCGAAAACATTTAAATTCCAGGAAGTTTATTTCTTTTTTTTGGTCGATCTATCAGCTATTTACAGCAAATTAAACAAACATTATCGATAACAACGTTATTCTTGTTAATAATAGTTAATGGTAATGATTATTATTATTATTATCGTAATGCATAGGGTTGAAAAGTAGTTGATCATCATAAATATCTCACTTCCCAATCAAAAACGTTACACTTCACCTCAACGTGTTCTATATAAGGAAAAAATCACTTTTTTTTGAAAAATTTTGCGGTTATGTAAATACATAATAAATCGGAAAAGATAAGGGAACATTTTATAGTCAACTTGAAATTCTAAATTTAAGAATGAAAATTTCAAAAATAATGAAAAGTAAATCCCGATGAAAGACTAATTGTGTGCATTGACTAATATGAAGATGATTTTTGAATGTAAGGCAGTTTAATTAATTATAATAATAATTAATATATATATATATATATATGTTTGAAAGCTAACTGCAGTGTCTTGGGTAATGAATGATTGGCATGATAATATTTTTTTGTACGGACCAATTTTATGTCCACATGCGTGTATGTATGTGTGTGTGAAAAAAAGGTCAAGACAAGCTAAAGTTATTAAGTGATAGTTTGAATATTGAACAATCAAAATTAGGTAAATAATTTTAACAGTGTTCATTACAATTTGAAAATACGAGAATCAAAGATAATGCATCCATGATCCATCACCAGCTAGATCTGTGGCTTTCGCATAACATGTTACACAATAATTTTGACCATGATTATTATCCCAAAATTGTTCACCAGTATGTGTTTCATATCGTATAGCAAATTGTGCTTTATCACCTGGTACCATTGTATCAGGAAAGATTAAACTAAATGAAAATTTATCCGTTACACCATCATATGATCCTTGAATGTATGATGCAGAAGTATCGAAAAACGTAATCCAGTTGTTATATGTAATGCGAATAGTAACATGTTTCTCATAACCTAAACTTTTAACTCTTATTGTACCAGTTAGTATACAACGTTGCATATCAATATGACAATCTTCTAGGCATATATTACTGGTAAGCACTCGACGAATAAAATTAGATGCTAAACCTGGTTGTGAGAAACATAAACCAAACTGTTTTGCACCGATTTTTGCAATAGATTCATCAGAATCCAACTGTAAATACAATATAGCAGAAGCTGGTATTTTCGGTGGAGCTTCAGAATCATATACATGTCGTTCAGTTGCTAAATCAAGTCCTAGAGCATCAGCAAAACGAACAGCTTTTGGAACATGTGTATCTGAAAGGCTTCTATTGGATTTTAGTGAACTACTACGTTTTGGTTTAATAGGTTCAGGAGTTTCAACTTTATCTTTTATTGAGAAAATTTGATTACCTTCAAATGGTAAGAAGGTTGGTAAATCTATTGGATTCTTTTTTCGATTGTTGTTAATATTTGTATGATAGACAGGACTACGATCTCTGCTAGGTCGCTGTAAAGAATTCGGCACAGGAGGTCGAGAAGATATAATGCAATTTTTATCTACTTTTTCAATGAAATCAACTGTTTCATTGGAAGGTGATAGGTCTTCCGTTTGTTTATTTGATAGAATCGCATTTGAATCAGTATCTATTTCATTGGTTGTATTATCAATACATAGATTAGACATTGCCCATGCCAATGTCTGATCTGATCGACTAACATCTGGTAAATTTAGGTCTATTTCAGGTGATTTATCAAAACATTCAGCTTGTAAACTATCGTCTTCCAGTGTATTAGGACTCAAAGGTGGATAAGAATGATCAGATGAATTAAGTTGTCCAGGTGATGCATCTATATCATCTGATAAAATTGATCCTACTTCGAAATTACATTCAGTTACATGATTGTCAATGGATGTTTGTGACTCAATCGGTGTTGATTTATTCCATGCATACATTTTACGTACTTCAACTGGTACACTTATATCACTTGAATTAGATAAATTACGTGGTAATACAGAGTTTATTAAATTATGAACATAATTATCATGAGTTACCTTATCAATATAACCATTCACTGAATCCGACTGATATGAATCCAATAAGGTAAATGTTACATGACTAGGTTCTCTACATAAATATCCAGAATCAGTAAATAATGTTGTAGAAATTGGAATTACTTCCTTATCCGTTAAAGGTTTATAATTTAATGTTTGGTTAATATCACAAAAATATCCATTTTTCAATGATGATATATTATTGTTATTATTAATAACGTCTTTAGAAGAAGAATCCAAATTTATTTCATTTTCAGGAATATGATTCTGAAAAGAAAGTGTAATGTTTTTTGTCTCTGTTTTCACATCCAATTCAAAATCACAAGTTGATGATGAAAGACAAGAAATGGTATTTTTTGTTGTACATACATCATTCACTTCATTCAATACTTGTGTATTATATGCATCATCAATATTCTCATGTAGATTTGAATGATCAGATTCGAATTTATTATGATCAATTAAAATTGATGTAGTTGGCCAAGTATTGTCATATGGTGTAAAGACAGGGATACTACATCCAAAAATACTTGCAATAGTAGACCATATGAACCATTTAATATACACCCACGTAGAAACATGAGGGCGTGGACTAGTCGATGTTTTAGGCTCTGTATTAATATCTGATGATATTATTAATTCTGATTCACTATGCTCAGCTGACGTCTTTAATGTTGAATTCTGATGACTAGTATCAGACATCAGCTAATGACATTTTCTAAATGTATTTCCCAAAAATTTATTTATTTATGTCTTGAAATGTATCATAATATTTAAACATGAATATGTAGACGATTATTAGTGCACAAAATATTCAATGTGCTTATAAACGATTTCATAACCACATTGGTCAACTAAAATAGTTTGATTTCATATGGGTAACAATTTCTATACCATGTAATAATAGAATTGAAAATCAGACCCACAGCCCAATTATTTGTTAGGCAAACTAACTTCACTGTTAAAATTAACCAATCAGCTTTCGAGGTCAATCATTCTATGGACAGAAATATGATGTTGGAAATAAAGTGATCTGATTTGTTTGTGAAAAAAAAATAGTGAGTGGGAGGAATAAGAGCGGAATAAACAACAAAATAATCAAATCAATGGTTTATTTATTTTTTTTAAAAATAAAGGGGAGACATAATGTGTTTAGGTGTTTTGGATATGATTAGTAAATGAAAACATGTAGTAAATTACATAGTAACAATAAAATAACTTCACAGATTGAAATCATGAGTCAGTTGAAGCTAGACCACCATTGAAAACTGCTCACTAGTGACCGACTTCAGGAAAAACTCCCGAAGTTCTAGTGAGAAGCCGTTACCAGCGGAGTTCAACCAGGTATGTTGTGAGATAGGAACTCACTGAAGACAATGGTGTACGGTGGCTCAACTTCGTGGATTGGTTGAAGTTAGACATTAACACCGTTGGATGCCGGCTCAGTGGTCTAGTGGTTAAGTGCTCGCGCGCGAAGCCAGTAGGTCCTGGGTTCGAGCCCCGCGTGGTGCGGGATCGTGGATGCGCACTGCTGAGGAGTCCCATACTAGGACGAAACGGCCGTCCAGTGCTTCCAGGTTTTCAATGGTGGTCTAGCTTCAACTGACTCACGATTTCAATCTGTGAAATTTCTAAAATCTCCACAAAACCCATTCTGATAATAAAATAACTAGCCTAATAAATTGATACAGTATTACAATTGAAATTTACATGAAGTTGTTTCGTACAGGCTATTTAACTTAACAGAAACTATTGTTAACAAATGGGGATAGTTTTCAATTAAGATTTTATTAAGCTGATTGATTTATATTCTTTTGTCCTGAAATAACTCTAATATTTCTTCTAAGAAGTCTCATACTAGGGTGAAAGATTTCTCTGTACTCCTTTCTAGTTTTCAATGGTACCTCAACTGAAGTCATTTTTTGTTAACGAATATCACTTGTAGATTATTATTATTATTATTATTATTATTATTATTATTATTAATATCAAAGAAACCTTATGCAAGAACGCATACTATACCATTCTGTTTGATTCTGCTCTACAATAAGATTAAATATCACAATAATTTAGATATTTTTATGTAATCAACAACGTAAATAATATCATGATAATCGACGGTATATTCAAGGATATTTCCTGTATTGTATGATATCTTTATTTCATCTTTTTTTATCATTATTGCACACATTAGCATGTAAGCTCAAAAGTTGTTTTCACTATTAAGTTCAACTACAAATTATTGAAAGCGAGGAAGTATTAGACAATTATTTCATCTTAGTATGATAATCTTCAAATGACGATGCATAGAAAACTTAAAGACAAATAGATTTCAAGGATTTTTAGGTTTCAGTGAAGGTGTAATTCCATTCAGTCACGGAACTGAAACACAATTTAGCAAGGTACCATAATCCTAACCGTGTCATCTCTGAATAGCTATCTCATTTCTTCATTGGCTAACTTTATAGATCATAGTTTCTTATCAACGTTTTGCAAATTCCTTCTGAAAGTTATTTATTAAAGGTAAGTGTCAGATGATTTCCTCAATACTGCTAAATTACTTGATGATTAAACTCATTCCACGCTGATATCAGTAGAAAATACATTACAAATCATGATTGGACTAAAGTAGTGAGTAATGGTAATTTTTTCATGATGACCTTTGTGTCCTTACTGGATGCATACTGACTTGCCCATTGTAGAACTAAAAAGTACGAATTCCGACTGTTTATCATTCATAAATTTTTAATTGAGGTAAACACCAATTCATTGCTGCTTGATTTTGAATTTGTTTTCTAAATCAAATGGAAAATAACCATCGTCATTCAAATATATCCTTGTTTAACAAAACATTCATTAATTTATCTAACTCGTCATTTTGATTAAAATTACTTTTCATTTGTGATTACACCATTTTAATTCACATTCATTGATAATCCACTTTACAACAGTTGTCAACATATTCTAATAAATGAGTATGAATTCAGATTAATGATATTTTTTGTCTACATGCGTTCTAACTTCACATATTTCATTAGTTTGTATTTAACGATTTTATTTGCAAACTGAAGAAATGTTAGTTCATGGATTGGTTGAAGTTAGACATAAACACCATTCGATGCCGGCCCAATGATCTAGAGGTTAAACCTTCGCTAGCGAGGCTGAAGGTCCTGGGTTCGAATTCTGTGCGTGATATCGTGGATGCGCATTTCTGAGGAATCCCATACTAAGACGAAAGTGCCGTTCAATGTTTCCAGGTTTTCAATGGTGGTCCAGCATTCATGGATTCAGGATCTTAATCAAAAACTTAACAATCTCAACAACCCCATACTGAAAAAGTTTCAGAATTAAATTAAGTAAATGAAATATTCATAATATGAATATATGTATAAGAGTTTTATTCAGTAGATTTTGACTACTATCTATCTCTTCTCCTACCATAGTATGTTGGTCTTTTTCAAACTAAGCGTGACTGAGATGCTTCAACAGATTTCAGCCTGACAATGTAGATTTCGACAGAAATGTACATCAACGTAAATTAGCACAACTCATATCACCATGAATAATAACAGGGATAATGGTTGGAACAAAAAAGGTTTAAGAGTTACAATTTCAGTAACTGTAGAAACTGAAACATAAATAATATAGCTCTCAAAGAAACTGTGGCATCTGGATCTGAAGACAATGATTTAGTATTAAAACTTGAGACTTAGAAGACACATAGAGATTGAATTCATTTACCTCAGTGTGATCGACTTTAGCTAAATTAGTTGAAGATTCTGAGCTAAAATGTACAATCTTAACTGAAAACTCCACACTTTGTAATATGGCTAAGACAAAAAGCCAATTACTAAATGATACATTTTATGTCTACCTATAGTCTTATTCTAATTTCTCCTAATATTATTCAGCATATCACTTTAAAGTAAGAGTTAGATGACAATAAATGCTTACATTTTCATCAGCCCATTTTGGATCTCTTCACCCAATATTAGCATTGTTTGCTTAGTTATTCAATCAAAATCTGGCATCGCTTGGAATGTATTTGTGTTCCTATCAATAGGCCGTTTAATATTCTAACGAGATCAGCAGAAATACACGACTTAAAATGAACGAAGAACAATCAATTTTTTACTGCTCAGTAATCTAAGAATTATTGGTCACTTATACAATTTAAGTCATAAAAACACTTTAAACCTCTATTATCCTATTATAAATTTGATTCATTTGAATTCTTAAACTATAAAATAATTTAATTACATCAAAGAGAAAATTTTACTCTTTACTAGTGATCTAGCTATTTCAAGTGATCATCCTCACTTTAAAGAAAAGTAGTGGTAATAGAAAATAGGATGAGCATCTATATTACTTACTACTCGTCAGCCTGGTATACCTGGAACATAGTGTTGATCTTCACACCGAGACTCAAACCCAGTACCTTTCGCTTCAAATGCTCAATGAGCTTGGGTCTAAATAGGTAGATATGTGCAACAGTGATGGAATTTAAATTCACTTGTAGTAATTTGAACCTTACGTTGTTGAAGATATAAACCACAACTGGTCGGTCATTTTTGTCATAAGTGCATCCTAAGCGGGTTACTTCGACAGTAACTTATCTACTACAGTCTATAGTATCAAAATCAGGAGGATTCAAACAACTGGAAGTAAAATAAACTACGTTCGTTGCTTTTGATTTCAAGTTATAGGGTGAAAATGTGACTAAACGAAGTGAAACTGCAAAAAAAGAATTCATATTATTCTACTACATTTGCTATTCATGCTTTGGCCAAATTTTTAAATGGCAAAAATTGTACCAGTTTGAAATATGTTAACAAGCATACAAAAAATGAGAATCAAGATTGAAATCAATTGATGGAATTAAAGGGGAAATAAAACATCATGTTCTGACTTGAAAAATGTATCATGTTTATACATCTTTATTGTTTGATTCAACAATATTCAATCTATCCTTAAAGTTTGAAGAATTCGGAAAACACTTGTAAAAGATAAGGTTGAAAATTCTGATTACTTTAGTGTCGATAACAACAGTCAGCAAAATGAATATGTTATGGTGAAGAAAATTTCTGTTTGATGACTCTACATACGTGGACTGCACAATCACAATTAAGACTAATTTTGTGTATAGTAGTCTTTATAAAAATATATTAGTGTAGCGTTATTAAATGATGTTTTACATTATAATCAAATGTTTCAAGATTTATTATCAAACAAAGTAACTAAATGAAACTATTCAAAGAGTTCAAACATATTCACATATTTATTTACTTACGCATGTTATTCTTCGTGAATGAACACATGTAGCCCACTAGGATTCGCCATCGAACTCTATCCTGGAGAATCTTTTCCATTGATATCCAGTTGCTATTCATTGTTTAGATGTTTTCACACATTTTCCGACACAATATATTCTCTCACCTACCTATATTCATTTACACATCACGATTCAAAGTTGGGGCATGCCTCGTGATCCAGTCTGATGACATCCTTAAATTGTAGCGTATCGATCTCCAGTGTCTTTCCCTGATTTCCTCTTCATACAGAAGCTGCTCTGTTCTCTATAATACTAGATTATTACTGATGGTGTCTGGCCAACAGATCTCTAACAGCCTGCATAGACAAATGTTCAGAAATACTTGCTCACAATTTCAATCATAGATGCAGTAGTTCTCCAAGTTGCAGATCCATACAGTAGAACTCTATTATCAATGATATTGGAAATTATGACCTTATTCCTGAGTCGGAATTCCTTTGAATTTCAGATATTATTCAATTGTAGGAACACTGTCATTGCATCAACAATACATGCATTCACATACACATCACACTCATCCTATTCACTAGTGATGCTGTCCAGAAGAGTAGAGAATTTCACCTACTCCACAACCTCAACATCCAGTGTGGTTTGTTTGGTGCA